CTGCTCTATCACATACTCTCGTCACAAACACAGTTCCAATCCAACAAAGTTGCCAGGGCCAAACTTAGACTCCACATCCCCCTCATTAGAGGGACCTCACTTCCCCTCCACTAGCTCTGATTGATGGTCAAGCGTACCGCCTTTGTAGGAGTCTGAAATATGTCTAGTGACCAGAACAGTTCCAACAAATTACTCACACCAAACACCCCCTCCTTCCTTCACCAGCAAATCTCCGTGAATGCCCTCCAGTGTACATCCATCTACAAGTCACGGATATGCTTTTGTCGGAGGCTGAATTGTGTCTAGTGACCGGAACAGCTCCAACAGGTTGCCTGTGCCGAACCCTCCACAGCCTCCTCGAGGGAATTGCTGCATGGGAATTGCCTTGGGGCCCTTCTTCACCCCAACCCTTTGAAGAATCTCTATGAAGAGGGTGGGTCTGTGGGGGAGGGAAAAAAGGATGAAAGGAAAATCTCGGAAGTTCAACCCTGCTGCATGCGAATTGCCTTGGGGCCTTTCTTCACTGCGACGCATTGAAGAATCTCAAGGAAAAGCGTGGGCCTGTAGGGAAGGGGAGACATACAACACGGATTGCAACAGTAGGTGAGGGAACTGCTGCACAGGAATTGCTTCCAGGCCTTTCTTCACCCGAAGCATTGACGAATCCCAAGGAAAAGCGTGGGCCTGAGGCGAGAGGGGGTGAGGAAGGGGAAACGCTGTCATGTAAATTGCATCTGTGCTAGCAAGGGCGAATTGGAGCTGCTGCAAGGGGAATGGCTTTCGGATATCAATGAGTAGCTCCCCTCAATCTGTGGGGCAGAGAGATGGGTGAAGGCAGCAGATCGAGAGGAGGGGAATGACGCAGGAGGTTGTGAGAGGATGGGACGGAAGATGGAAAAGGCAGGGAAGGAGAGGCATGCTTGGATCATGTTGTGCAGAAGCACGATGCACTTGGATAGAAATAAGAGACGCACATTATGTTTTTGCTTTCGTTGAGGCGCCTCTTAACGAGATGCTGACCATGCCTTTGAGCTTTATCATGAGGCAACTACAAAACAGACTGACTCCCCACACCCCACCATTGCTTCCCCACTGATTAACCCCCCTATCTTCTGCGCACAGGAACACTCACCTGTCTCCAATAGGTGCAGTGAATATCTGCAGCAGAATTTTCCCACCCTCCACATCCACTAGTGAGGAGTCTATTTTTGAGGCGCCTCAAAAATAGACCCCTCACGCAGAATTGTCCCACCCTCCACATCCACAGAATCCCCAAACTCCTCATACTCCCACACAACCTTCCCGAATTCACCCCTATCTACCACACACACAAAAGACCACCCGATACCCCCTAGCAAAGGACTACTCTCACCTGTCCCGAATAGGTGCGGTGAATATTTGCAGCAGAATGCCCCCTGCGTCCCACAACCACCAAAATCCCCAGCTCCTCATACTCCCCATCTCCCCCCACTGCTCCGTTTTGAGAGTCCTCAGCAGTAGGCCTATGGCCCCTCACAAGCAAACGGACGCTCACCTGTCCCCAATGGGCGCCAGTAAATATTTGAAGCAGAATTCCTCCCGCATCCACATCCACCAGAATACCCAGCTCCTCATACTCCCCCATCTCCTCCCCACTGATCAAACTCCCCACCCGAGCCCCCAGCTCCTTATAGTATTTAGCCGAGGGCCGGGGCAGGAAGGCAAACCCTCCCATGTCGCTCCGAGCTTTCATCTCCTTGACGGCTTTAACTATGTCCGTGCACATCAGCGCTATGTGCTGCACTCCTGCCCCGTTATAGTGCTCCAGGAAGGTCTCGACTTGCGTCTTATAAGGGAGACCGAGCGAGGGCTCCATTATAGGGAGGATGACTGTCTCCCAGTCATTGGCGAGTACAGTACTGTTCACGCCAAGGCCAGAGGGGTCAACGTCAGCAGCACAGCCAGATCTCTTCTTAGGAGTAGCACCACCACCACCAGCAGCACCACCAGCAGTACCAGCACCACCACTAAGACCAATCACCCCTCCTCCTCCTCCTACTCCCCTTGCTGCCCCCCTCCAGCTCCTCCTGCCCCCATGCTACCACCCCCTCCTCCTGCTTCCCCCGAGCCACACGAATCCGTGAACTCGTGAAACCCTGAGAATCCCTTGATGTACCGAACCACATCGGCCAGGCTCGGCACGTTCCCAACCACATGGTCGACCCTGAAGATCCCGTAGCTCATCACTTGGTTCGACGCTGCCTCAAAGGCTGGGAGAAACGGGCCTGAATAACCCTTGGGGTTAACAAACCGCAGCACAGTGTCACCGTATAGAGTCACCTCCGCTATAGTCACACTCCCTCCCTGGCCGTTCGGTTTGATGTCTGTGACAGTAACGGGAGGGCAGATGGAAATGGCTCCGTTATCTACACTTGTTTGATAAGCAGCTTCGACGTCCTCCACTCTAATTCCGATTGCCCGGACTCCCAGCCCATGCAGAGCGGAAAATTCCCGGGCAGCCCGTGGCGAAAAACCTGGAAAAGGAACTCGCGAACGTCTAGGGTGTCCAGTCTCCCCCGTTACTGGTCCCAGCGGATCTGTACGCGTTAGAGCGGCTGCTTCGGAATAAGGAGCTGTGAAGACCAGCGCCAGGTCCTCTGCTTTCAGCACGAAACTGCAAAACGTCTGGTTACCCGTCGTCTGGTCCGATTTCGCCACGAGCGGCAGCCCCAGGCCCCACGAGAACCGTCCGTACGTGTTAGTAGCATCTCCGCACCAGAATTCGATGTGGTGAAACCGGTCCACTTTAAACTTATCCGTCCGCGGGTTACTTCGTAAAAACTTCCAAAGCCGACGAGACCCGTGGAGTGATGGCGGATTCCGTGCTGCGACGCCCATCGTCATCATCATCGTCTTCATCCTCCTCTTCGTATTCCTCGTCGCTGGAAGCGGGACCGTAGGTGTCGAGGCTCACGCATCCCGCCTGCTCCAGACTCTGGAAAAAGGCTTCTTGGATTCGTTGAGCGATATTTCCCAGCATGGCGGTCCGCGTAGCCTTCGGCAGTATGTGCAGCCTTTTTCGGTCAGCGTAGCGTTTGACGGTCAGCGTAGCCTTTGGCGGTCAGCGTAGCCTTTGACGGTCAGCGTAGCCTTTGGTGGTATGTCTAGCCTTCAACAGACTGTGCTGCCTGAAAAGGGGTTGCTTCAGCAAATGAACGTAGCAACCAAGTTCGAGACGCAATAAGCAGGTTCTGGAATCAGGACTCACTCTAGCCTATCAATCAAAGCATAAAAAGGTTTCAGGAATCAACACGCAGGAAATCACTGACGTGGCTCAGAGAATATCGAGAAGGAAGCTAACGAAACGACGGGTAAGAAGCACGAGCCGTGGAACCGCACGGAGCTGCTAGTGTAGTGGAATGGACCTGAAACATCAGGAGGTTGTTTCTTGAGCCGCAGATGCTGACGCAAGAGTCTCCCGCGTTGTTGAAGCGCGAGAAGAATGGTCCTTCAAGCATTCCCTTTCTCGTACAGGATAACCCTGCTCATACGCTCTAAGTTACACAAACCCTGCTAGAACGAAATGCATTTTCTACACCTCTTGAACTCACCATGGTAGCATGAGAGTTACGGGGGGAAAAAAACCCGAGCAAATTTCATATGTATATATATCTAGTCATTCAGTACTACGGAGAACAGCGAGAAGGCAAGCTAACGATAGAGCATCTAAATTATTCAAATGTCACACTAGATCATGTGCAGCCGATTCAATCAGACTGTCTAGCCAGAGCAACATTACGAGGATTACGCTGCAATATTCCTGGTAGGAAAGCTACCAGCTAGAAGGTGCTTCAATAATCCATCAACCTGACCTGCCTCTTCCCGGCTGCCCTTGCGCCAGTCCTCATTCGAGGCGGCAGCATGCAAGGCAACCTTTGCATCATCAAACTGCTGCATCAGAATCCCCACCTTCCCTGCCAGCTCATGGACACTCCCAAGCAGACCCGACAAGGTCGCTCTCTCCTCTTCCAACAGATCAGGCTTCTTGGATTTCTTGTTGCTGCTGCTGCTCTTCCTCCTGCCCGTGGGGGAATTAAACTGGCTCTTCGGGTTCTTGGTGGAAAACCGGTACTTGGCGGACGAAAGTTCAGACATGAGCAAGCCAGCAGCCGACCTGAGGTGAGACTTGGCCTTAACCAGGCGTGCATTGTGCTGTGGAGCCTCAAGGCTGTAGCTCAGCTTCTCAAGTGAAGCCACAATGTCAATGCTTGTGTAGGCGAACCCTGACAGACTGATTGATTCTTGGACCTGCGAAAACGCACATGCCAAAAGGCAGCAAAAGTCAGCTCTACATCCTCAGACCTTAATGACGAGGGTCAATGATAGAAGGTCAATACACACCTCAGCTTGTGCAAGACACAGAAGAGCCTCAGCATGCTCGAAAGGCACACCAGCCTGGGCCAGCCCTTCAACTGCAGCATTCAAGCTGCTGAGCCGATCTTGACCCGTTTGGGTGTCAGCAATAAGCCTGCATAGATCCAGACGAAGCATATTAGTAAGCACCACAAACTAAATAACACAATGCAGTGGGAAGAAGCGCCACTTCTAACATACCTGAGGCAGCGAGCCTCCTCCCCCTTCAGCCCATGCTTCCGGGCAGACATGTACGCACTGAATACCAGCCGCCTCCCCTCCTGCACGTGCCCATGTGCAAGGGCCGTTGCACCAGCTAACCGCTCCATAGAGACTTTGGCAAGGAGCGAACTTGACTTGTGCGTGGTTGTCCTCTGCTTGCTGTCGGTTCTCTTCCCTGGGCTTTCAGAGCTCATCTGCTGGGGCTCTGGAATAAAGCCTGAGGTTCCAGCGAGTTCAAGGAGCTTGCTTGAAGCAGGAGGACTGGAAGAAAGCTCAGGAGAACCTTCTCTGGACCTGCAGGCAAACGAAGGACTGACAAAGCGGGGTCAGGAAAAGAAGGCACAGAATAACGGATGGAATCGCGCTGCCAACGAATGATACATACATAAAGACGGGGTTCTCCAAAGTGCTCTCAGGAGAGAAGAGCTGGTTGTCCTCCTCCAAACCTGAACCGCCAATCTGAGACACGAAAAGAAGGGCACGGAACAGGGTAGAAAACAGTCAGATCAAAGAACAGGCCAAAATCGCGTGAATGGAAGCAGAACAGCAGACCAAACTTCATCGCACCTTAACGAAAAGCGAACCACCATCGGGTTTAACGGGCAACGAACCGCACTCCTCTCCATCCAGGACAACGATGCTTGAAGACTCCGGGCTCCGCAGATCAGCAGGTGGAGGATAAGATTTTGGTGGACTGTTGGCGAGAGGAGGGCTTGCAGAAGGCGAATTGGCTAGAGACCTCGAACGGCGGCCATGACACTTGGGAACAACGATGGACCAACTGCCATCGTCTAGACTATCATCCTGCGGCTCCGCTGCTGCGGTCCCTGCATCCTCCTTGACGACGTCTTCAACCTTCAAGTTCGCAGGTTCTCCCGCTGACTCAGACAGTTGGTCATGGCTGCTTGCTGCGGGACAGTTAACAAGTAGCTTTTCCGCCTCCCGTGCAGTCACCTTCTCCGACACGTTCTCCTTGGACGATTTCTTGGAGGACTTGCTGCTCTTGGAACCCTTTCCACCGTGCTTCCCCTTCCCTCCGTGTTCGTTCCGCTGCCTCCGCGAATAGATCTTGCGTTGGTTGCGCCTCCCTACAGTGTGGGAGATGAGGCTCGGAATCGGGTCGTACACGTCAGCAGCCCAGGTGACGCGAAGCCCGGCGGGACGCGGCGACGATCCCTTGAGGGCTGACTTGAGCCGAGCAACCTGAACACCATGTTAAAATGACGAAAGAACATGAAGAAAGACGCTGTCAACGGCTCGTTCGTAACTCAATCGACAAAATACAGTGAGAGGGAGGAAAGACAGTGCTCCAGACTACAAAAATGGGGGGAGGGAATAAAAGGCGAAGAAATTAACCGGACAAGACAGTGCTCTTACCTTCTCTTCACAAACAGTGCTCTGTGAGCAGACGCTAGCAGAGGCAGCCGATGCATCATTATCATCCTCCGCCGAGTCAGAAATGGAGACAGCAAAGCTGCACTCAGCCTCTACGTTATCCACCCAACTTTGCGATTCCGTTGTCTTGATGCCGTGTTCGCTGTACCCAAAAAAAAAAAAAAAAAAAAAAAAAAGTGACGTCAGCACCAATTGGCAAGATGCAGAAATACTCAAGGAAACGTATGCAACTCGTCACAACCCACCTGTTAGGGTTGTCTCGTCAACGGCATCTTTAATCGATGCACAAGGGTTTCCAACCCACCCATCTTCGAGCTGTCTAGAGATGTCAACTGCGCTAACGTCACTAGAAGGACTGGACGATTTCTCAACAGCTTCTACAGAAGTCCCAAAGATATCACGTGCTAGTATGAAGCTCACGCCACCACCGCCAGCATATTTGGGTCCCTCCTGTTGCACAAGCTTCCCACGAGCAGGAGCAGGCAGCGGCGCGCTCGGACAGCGAGCATATTCTTGAACACCCCTCGGAATGGGGTTGTTTTTCGGAGAATCCAAAATCATTTGCCAGCAGAAGTCACGGTTGCAGAAGGGGGATGATAGCATGAAAGCTGGGGAGGTAATGGCGTTGAAGGCCCGTGCTAGTCAATTACTTTCCTCCATCGTATGAAATGGCTCAGGAAGAATCAAGCACTGAAGGTTGGAAAACATATCCACAAGACCTAGGGTTTGTATTTGTAGTTCCTCCCCTCCCCTTTCTCCAGCCAACCTTCTCCCCTTCCCTTGGGATTGTTGGCTTGATTTGGCTTTGCTTCGAATTGGGTTGGGGAAAGGTTCGGTCCTCACAGCACAGCACAGTGAAGAAAGGGTCAACTCAGTGCGTTTTAATACGTTCTACAGCGGTTTATTCAATGTAAAATGGTTTGCTGAGACACCCCAGGAGGACCAAGCTGTCGCAGGAAGGAGCAGCTTGCAGAGCGGACGGAGAACTCAAGGTGGGATGGGGGATTGCGGGAATTGGGGGAGGTTGCGGGGCGGAAGTGAGCTGCGCGCTGCTCTGATCTCGCGGCTGTTACAGAACGGAGGGCGGAGGGTGTCATGTTGTGCAACTTCTGGAGGTGCGGTCGCCGCGCGCAGTCGCTCCGAACGTGACAGTGCACAGCCACATGATGTGAAAGTGCCATGCCATGTGATCGATTGGTTGGCGGGTGCAACGTATTGCGTGGAACGTACCCAGCTCCAGAGGCTGACGCGATCAGTATTTCATCGAACGGCCAGCTTCTTTCTGTGTTCGAATAGATGGTTCGATGTCAGTAGCTACGAGGTTGTCGTGATCCTGAAGCAGCTTTGGGGATGTCGCAGATGTATGCCAAACCACTGCACGCCACGTCATTTGAGTGTTGCTTTTGCCAGCCTGCTTGGAAAAAGCAGCGTGATTGGTCACTTCTCAGGTGTGACTATAGCCACGTGGCCATCGTGTCATCCCATCTCCATCACACGGAGCCTATATTACTGTACTCGACAACCTATCATACACCGCAATTCTACACCCAGAAACAGTTCCCCAATTCGCCATTGAACCATATTTGCAACTCAAAAAGATGACCACAGCATGAGATGAGCATGCGCCAAAACCTGTAAGAAATTCTACTCGATACCAGGCCGTACTATGCACCCGAATCGGTCAGGTTCCCCCAAACCCGAACCCCCAAACTAGGGTTCTAAGGTCCTCCACGCCTAGCCATACGCTCATCAATTTATCGGGCACCTCCAGGGTTCAAAATAGCCGGGTGAAATGCCCTGATTGCCCTGATTTTTCCGGGTATTTTTCATGTTACTCTTAAAAATCCGACTTGTAAAATTTGTAAGGCTGATTCAAGAAGTGTTCGCCTTTTTTTACCCTGCTAGAACCAGGGTTGGGCGCCTCCCAACCCTGAGGCGTCAGGGTAACTTGAAAATCACCCTGATACAGAAACTCCAAAGAGGCAAGATGCGTGCCAGATTTTGTGCGCGTGATGCCCGCCACGCCACCGCCGCGCCCCTCGTCAGTCCAAAGTTTGTTGCCCACCATCATCACATGCGCATGGGCATATTTGTTAACGTAGAAACGAATTATTACTAGAGGTGGAAACCTAGAACAAATACTAGTTGGTTGTACTCACTAGAAGCATACCTCAGTCTAGCCTATAACTTCTACATAGATAATATGTATAAGTTGACACACCCCCTAGGCTAGACAAGGGGTGAAACTAAACAAGAAGCAAACAGCTCAGGGCGGCACTACTAGTCCAACCACTGAGGCAGGGGTCTGGAGACCAGTCAGCAAGAATACAACCAAAACTCAAGCAAGCCAGGGTGGCACTACTAGTCCAGCCACTGGAGGTAAGGCCACAAGGCCAGTCTGACAAGCATATATAATAGAGAGTACACAATCAGGATCCTAACAGGGGAGCAGCTATAGGAACAAGACCAAGCTGTACACAGTGCCGCTGATGATCTTTAGGCGCAAGCGCCTTAGTAAAGATATCAGCTGTGTTGGCACCTGAGGCCAAGTGAACTACGCGGGCCTGGCGGCGCTGCTGTAGCTCGCGCAGGAGGAAGTACCGCAGCTGGATATGCTTCGCTCTGCCCTCAAGCCGAGGCTCCTGACACAGGAGTATCATGGCCCTGTTGTCAGCGTACAGGACCGGGGCAGAGCTAGGCCGCTCACCTAAGTCTGTGAGCAAGAAGGTCAGCCAGCGGAGCTCCTGTGCCGCCATGGCACCAGCGTAGATCTCAGCCTCACAGCTAGACTGAGCCACAGACGACGAGCGAGTGGATCTCCAAGAGATAGCACCCGAACCAAGGCTGAAACAGTAGCCCTGCGACGACCTGAGCGTCTCAGCGTCGTCTGCCCAAGAAGCGTCTGTGTGCCCAGTAAGGACCGTTGGCCTGCGTCCTCCTAGCACTAACCCCATGCCTGATGTACTAGCAAGATAACGCAAAACCCTCTTAGCGGCAGACCAGTGCTGAGGTCGGTGTCTGCCTGTAGCCACAAAGCGAGCCAGGATGCTGAGAGGGTATGCGAGATCTGGGCGAGTGCAAGTCATCAGGTACATGAGGCAACCCACCAGCTCTGCGTAGGGGCCACTGGGCTCTACTGGCTCCTCAGGAACGGGAGCAGAGAGCCCATGGTCTACGGGTAGAGGTGTGGGCTGTGCGGAGGAGAACTGAAGACCGAACCTCTGAAGGACCTGACGCACCAAGTGTGACTGGGTCAGAGTGATGGTGCGTGCTGCTCTGTCCCTAGAGATCTGCAGGCCAAGATAGCGACGCAGCTCTCCAAGGTCAGTGCAGGTGTGTCTCTTCAGCAGCTCAGCCTTCACAGAGGCCAGTGCGTCCCTGTCAGGAGTAGCGAAGACCAGGTCGTCTACGTAGACAAGGATGTAGAACGGAGTCTGGCCGGAACGCACAAACAGTGAAGGGTCAGCAGAGGACGGAAAGAACTGCAGGTCTGCTAACGTGGCACGTAGCGTGTCGTGCCACTCGCGGGGAGCCTGACGCAGGCCGTAGACCGGGCGCCTGAGAAGCCACTGGGTCCCAGGAGGGAAGGTACAAGTGAAGCCCTGTGGTCGGCGCAGGTAGACCTGCTCGTGTAGGCTGCCCTGAAGAAAGGCAGTAGAGAAGTCGAGAGAGTGAAGCTCGTAGTCACGCTGTGCTGCTACGTGTAGCAGCGCCCGAAGAGTGGTCATCTTCGGGGTCGGGGCGAAGGTCTGGAAGAAGTCAACCCCCTCGCGCTGACTGAAACCTCTGGCCACGTAGCGCGCCTTGAAGACAGGCGGCTCTCCAGGGGGGCGCTTCACCTTGAAGAGCCACCGACCATCGACTACGTTCACCCCAGGCGGGGGAACTGCGTCGACGTAAGTGCTGGTGGATCTCCAAGATGCCATCTCCTGCTCCATGGCAGCTATCCACTGAGAGGCCCAAGGTCCCGAGGTGGCCTCAGCGTAGGTGCGAGGGGTCGGGATGTCGAAGGCGTCTGGGTCACCCTCAGGGACTAACAGCATGGAGCAGAGATGGGGAGCAGCCTCGGAAAGGAAAGCCAGCTCGTACTGCCTGTCCTCTAGGACGTCACTGCCAAGGGCAGGAGCACCCCCGACGGACAGAGGACGGGCAGGGTCAGAGACCAGAGCGGTAGCGTAGTCAAGGCGGCGGGTAGAAGCGAAGTCAGCGACAGCAGCGACAAGCGCGTCAAGGCGCGAGACAGGAACAGCAGGGTCGGTAACAAGAGAGGCAAGGACCCGAGGGACAAGGGGACGAGCAGCACGGAGGTAGTCAGAGAACGGAGGAGGTGCAACAGCAAGGGACGAGGGAGGAGGGGACGGGAGGAGGGGAGGACGAGACGAGTGGGAACGGAGCAACATAGGGTGGGTGGGCAGGACAGGAGAGACGGGACGGGCACGGGAGGGACGGCGAGCCCAAACGTGAGACGGAGGGGTAGGGTCAGGGGACAGCGGAGGAGACACAGGAGGGGAACGAGGAGGAAGACGGGCCGGAGACGAGTCTGGCGGCGGGAACACAGGACCGTAGACAGGGAGGTCAGGAGGCGGTGGGGGAGACACCGGCGCGCGGTCCGGGGAGGGAAGGCCGAGCAGGCGGAGAGCGGAAACCGGCGGCGACGGCTGCTGTGGCGGCGACGACGGCTGGGCCGGAACTCTCGGACCAGCAGAGGCAGAACGACCGTCGGCAGAACACTCAACAGCAGCACCCCCAGAACCAACACCCCAAGAGCGAGAACCCCCTCCAACACCAGCGGCACCCCCAGAAGCCGCAGGACGAACACCCTCCTCCACACCAGCACCCCCAGGGGCCGAGAGCAGCGGCGGCAGTGGCGGCGACAGCGGCGACGGATGCGGCGGCGACGGCGACGGCGGCGGCAGCGGGGTCGGCGACTGCGACAGTGGGGGCGGAGGCACTGGGGAAGGGGGACGCGGCAAGGACGGACCGGGGGTACCACCAGAGTCAGCAGACTCCTCAACGGGGACAACCGACGGGAGGGGAGTAACGTGGGAGACACCAGACGGGGCAGGACGAGGCGGGAGAGGGGCAGGGGCTACCGGGGGAGAGGGAGCAAGGAAAAGGGGGGGGGCAACTGGGAGACCTCGGTGAGGGAAGCGGCGGTAGAAGGAGACGGACTCGTCAAAGGTGACGTCACGAGAGTGGAGGAAGCGGTGAGACGGCGGGTGGTAGAAAAGCCAGTCAGACGAGTCCAGGGGGAAACCGAGGAAGACACAGGGGACAGTGCGGGCAGTGAGCTTGTCCGTGCCAGAGGCACGAACGTGAGCAAGGCAGCCCCAGACGTGGAACGCAGACGCGTCACCGGGGGACCCGGTCCAAAGGAGGGTCGGCGAAACCTGCGGCCGCTGGGAGCGTGGCCACAGGTTAAGCTGGTGAGCCGCGTAGCGAACAGCGAACGGCCACAGAAAATGGGGGGCATCGGCATGGATCATGGAGGTACGGGCGACCTCCATGACCAAGCCGATGCGGCGCTCAGCAACCCCATTCTGCTGTGGCGAGTCCGGCAACGTGTACGACTGGGTGATGCCCTCCGCACGACAGAACTGTCCAAGCCGACCAGAGGCGAACTCGCCGCCACGGTCGGAGTGGAGACACAACACGGGGAGACCGCGGTGGAGACGCGCAGCTACAACCCACGGGAGAAGAACGTCGGGCACGTCGGCCTTCCGCTCCAGGGGAAAC